TCGAGATCGAACGGTTCTGTACGTTTACGTTTACGAACTCCATGACTTCCAGTCAAAGCAAAACGTAACGTATCAAACACAAAGACAGCGTACACCGTTGCTAACTTCTTCAGATGGCCGTTCAATACCAAAAGATTTGTAACAATGGTTACAAATACACTACGTCTACAAAAATGTCTATTTCAGCCAACGTACCAATCGCGGAAAGCCCTCTCCATCGAAGCTCGGCCGAACGTTGGTACACGGATGGGGCTTTGTCGCGTGTACGACGAAGTTATTTATAATAGATGAAGACCAACAAGATGCCTTTGGGTCTGTCGCGTTCGCGAGGAGCTATCCAGCCACGAAACCCGGACAGGGGACACGAAGGTTAACATCGTAAGAAAGCGTAAAATTTGTACAGGGGATGTGGTCGAAAGACGTCGCGGGTTGAAAGAGCAAGAGACGCCTCGTACAAGACGCTAAAGCAACCAACGGCAGCAGCAGCAGCAGCAACCGCGACGTCGGTGGTAGTAACACCGTGAGCATCCAGCAGCAGCAGCAGCAGCAGCAGCAGAAGCAGCAGCAGCGTTGGAGGGTAGTGGTGACGACGACAACGACAACGACACCGACAACGGGTGCGACAGGGGTAGTAGTAGGAGCGGGTAGTAGTAGTAACCGTGGAAGAAGACCGAGACAGAGAAAGGGGTAAGAACGGGAGAAAGACGGAGCGAGAGCACGGATGCCTGGAGGAAGGAGGAGGCTGACTGATCGGCAGAGTAGAGGAGAAAGAGCACGCCTGCGCGGAATCCCCGGGCGGGCGCGGGCAGTGCCACTGGAGGCCCGGCGGTTTCAGAGCTTCGCCCGGGACGACGAACCGCAGACGACCCGTACGCAAAACTCGGTCGTAGTTAGCCGCGTCGAAGGTATCCGTCGGGTGGACAGGGGCCAAAACCACGCGACGTCGCTGTGGTACCCCTTTTGGTGAACTTGGTCGCGGTGTTGCATACGCGTCCGGTGTTTTTTTTTTTTCCTTTGCGTGGACGGTAGCTGTCAGTCGTCAGGGATAGTGGCCGAGACACCACGCCGTTGGTAACGCGCGGCGCACGTCAGGGAGGAACGTTCCCGAGACACGTAGTACTCGGTGAACGGGACCGAGAGAAAGATAAAAGTTGTCATCGCCGAAAGGGAGGATAATGTGACCAGTGACCGACACCTGAATCGGGTGGTGTGTCTCCGATTGAAACGTGCGCGACAGCAGGTGGCGAGGTAGGGGACACTCCGGTGTGAGAGAGGTGCTATGCACGAGGTCTGGTAGCACCGTGCCAAAAAGGAGGGTGAACAACGTGATGACGGTGGACCGGGAGTGAGAAGGTGCACCGTGCTCTCGGTGTGCTCGTCCCTCTCTCTGAGATGTCAGTGGACATTCCGTCGAAGGCAACCGCGTCGTCGTTCCCGTCGTCGTCGTCGTCGTCGTCGTCAACGTCTTCGTCATCATGAGGAGATCCTCTTACGTCAACTACTACGTCCTGTGCCTCGTGTGCTGGATTCTCCTAGGCATCACCGGTAAGACCAATCGAATCCGCCGCGCGGACATATGTTTCCCACCTGCCGCGTGCGGCTGTCGGGGGATGATCGTTCATCGATCTATCGTCCCGCGGGAAAGTGCAGCAGGGACGTGTGTATACGTGGTGACTGGTTTTCCAACGGCTAAGGCGTGAAACCGGTGGATTTTCGGTAACCGTTCGGAGCGAGACTCGCGTGCTCCGCGGCTGACCGTCAACTCGCTTTTCTACGATGAAGACCTGCGGGGGATGCTAGTGACGTGACAAAAGGGAGGCACGGGGGAGGCGGGGCTGTGGATACTTGTACCGCGGATGGATCGATCAGATTTTGGGGTGTAACTGTGCGTACGTGAATTTCCACGCGTTCGAATCCGTTGGATCCATACGACTCCGATTTCGGAGCGTTCCGACGTCGGGAGTTTCAGCTGATCGCTGACGATTCGCGATCGATACCGTGGATCCAGATACGCTGGACGGAAAAAGGAGGACTGCTGGGTGGGATGATATTTCACCAACAGTGGGGGAGGGGGTTTACTGCCTCTGGACCCCCGGTCCAGGGCCGTATCGCTGGCCTTGTTTGCCGCGCCATCGGTATTGTATTAGGTTGTTAGGAAAATAATGTCGGTTTTCTCACGCGGCACCCATTTTTCGAGCTTCTTTGACTTCCCTAGCTGTCTCAGGTGGTCAATAATTGTTGGCTGCCAGACACCCGACTCCTGTGCGAGTTGTCGAACCGTTGTTCGTGGATCAGCTTCGACCAGTACCTTCAATTGGTCGTCGTCGACGTGAGAAGGGTGTCCGAGATCATCTTCGACTTCCAAATTTTTTTAGCCAACGCTGGATCGCGCGTTCATTTACGCATTCTTCTCCGAATGCACCGCAGTTGCAGCTTTATGACCCAGTTTATATTCACATATGAATATTACACGAACTTAGTATGCATTGCGAAGTAAATAACTCGAAGGTGAGCACAAATTAACAGTAAAAAAAGAAAAGCGTACCTATCAACATGCAGCGCGACATCTGCACTGTAAGATGATATTGGAACGTAAATGGAATAAAGTGAGCTGTTATTCCAAAACCAAGCGTCAACGTTCGAAAGTTCGAAAACCGACATTAATTTCTTGCCAAGCTAATATTTTCCCCCGTTCACTTATTCGTCGGTTCTTTTCTCCGTCCTTGCCGGGTCACCGTGTCGACTCGATGATTCTGTCATCGATGGACGCGAGGGGGATGAAACTGTAGGGTAGCGTGTTCTCTCATCTTCGCACTGACGTCGTTCAGGGACGTGTCTATCGATTTCATCTCTCTCTCGTTGTTTCGCGATGATACGGTTACCTTTTTCGAACTCCTCCGATAGGGTTCTCCATGTCCGTCCACGACGCTCGAGGTAACCAACACCGGAGAGTCGCCCTTGTTTCGATCCCGCGGCACGTTTCGACTACGAACTTTCGAGACTTAATTATATCGTTCGAAACGACTCCCCGACGCTATTCAGTTTTATCCCCACGACCCGTTAACGGTGGTTCGCGGCTATCAAAAGTGTAGAGATAAAGGTTCCGCGCTTAAACAGCTCGCAGCGCGATATCCGATGCAATTACCGAGATCTCGCTGGAACGAGACATCAATTTCGTAGCTTATATAACTCCCGTGGAAATACTTGTTGGGTGCACGCCGCGAGCGTGGCAATTACTCTCTCCCTCGGCCGTGCAACTTTCTGCTGATTCAATCGAGGCTACGTTAAGTCACGGATCGCCAACCGCGACATGTTTTATCGCAATCATCTCCCAGGACACCATTCCCTTTCGATAACCGGGGGGCTGCCCGGAGCCCTTATCCCTTTGCCGATAATTTCTCCTTTCCGTCGGAGAGGTCTCAGGATACCCCACCGTGTAAGAACCGATCTCGTGGCGAGGATTTATCGAGTAACCAAGATCGTGGGTTCTCCATCCGTGATCGTACCATTGGATGACTTAGTCGAACAGCGAAGCAACCGTAGGGATTAATTAACTTCGCCAGTGCGCGACTATTTCCTTTTTTCCTTTTCTTTCCTTTTATTTTAACCCTCAGAAGCCTGATTTTCCTAATTAAATTTAAAAAGATATCAATGCATTTATTATTTGAACAATTTTGACAGCTGAAGTTTTTTCAATTCGATTTAAAAATCCGGTATTAAATTTGAAACCGAGGGCATTTAGGGCTTAAGTGTGAAACCATTTGCAATAGTCATTACACTAATAAATCTTCTTAACGTAGGTACAAAGTTTTCTTTATCACATTAACTGGCAGACTAATATCCGTGAAAATTGCTACGAGGCTAAAATTTAGTGCTTATTTTCCCGACCTCTTTAGAATTCACCAATCCTATCCAAATTAATTTTCTTCGACGCCTTACTTTCATTAATTTATTTATTCCTCAGTGAAAATCCTTGTCACCTATATGTATAATACCGTTTTTCGTAGAAATGTGAAACGCTCCACGGTTTTGCGTGTCATCCTCGCGCAGGGACCACGCTAATCTTCTCTGTGTCGTTCCAATTTTAGTATATGCACCGCCGATGCAGTACGACTATTTTCCTATCGATCCCGCGTGGCGGGTTACGGGTAAACGTTTCGAGGTGCAAAGTAGGCATCAACGTGTTGTCAATCGAGTCGTTCATTATCCGTGTCAGTCGCTTTGTAAAGACTTCCCATTCGTCGGGGTACCAGGGCCGCTGTTATCGAGCGTTTCCATGCGGGAGACGGTAAAATACACACGGGTCCCTGCCAAACCGCGAACTAAACGACACTCGTAGAACTTTCGACGGAGCGCAAACCGATGCCATTAGCGCAACTAACGTACGCTACGGTAATTTTGTTAAATAATTTACCGAATTCTGGCGCACCGATTCTGGTCGAAACCCCCGTCTACCCTTCCCTTCCCTCCCTTCCTAGCCTCCCGCCCCCTGGTCTGTCGTCGCCCCTTTCGCGGAGGGGCACGCTCTTAATTGATATCAACTACGCGGCCGGCCGCGCATTCGGATGCGCAACGCCGAAAACAATTTCTGCATCGACGCGATGCATTATGCACTTTACAGCCGTAACATAATCGCGGTGCCAGGCCGCTGATTATACCGCACGGTGATTAACCAACCGACGTAGTTACCCTAGAATGGAGATTTCGGCGTTCAGGCGACCACCACTTACGGAAAATCGCTTCCACGGATGCGGGGGAGGATCCGAGTGTCTTGACTTGTATCGCGGCCAATTGGTTAACGAAGTTACCGTCTTCCCACCGCGGCTGGTTGCGGAGTCTGCAACCCTTTTTCTAGTCTGGCAGCTCCGGACCGATGATCCCTCGACCCCCCCGACTCTCGACTTTTCAATTTTTAAGTAGACAGCCGCGGATACGTACACTGCCGGTCAAAAGTATGCGAACACTTACCATTTTTAACGAATCTGTGTATATAAGTTTTCGTTACGTGATTTTAAGTGGAAAATGTTGTACCAAGTTTGGTGAACAATAGCTTCGTTGGGTAGTTTGATTATTTAAATTCGTGAAATAACTAGAAATGTATGTGTTTACCCTGGATTATATTCCTTTATCGTCGAAAGGTTTCGAAAACACTCATGGTAATTATTAAAAAAAGGTGTGGAATGATATTAAAACGTGAACAATAAAGTAATTAATAGCCTAAAGATATAATTACTTGTAATATGTAATGAATTATTGATCAAATATATTTTGATTTTGGGAGAAAATGGAATACATAAAATTTCGTTTGATTTCATTTGGATGATTTCGTTGGATTTCGTAACTTTTTTAGATAGTTACTAGAGTTAAGAAAATATCAACATAATTTTGAGGGACAGTGTACGTTATACTGTAAAATGATGAGAGAATGAGAAGAGAGTTTTAAAAGACGAGGTTTTTCGGACCGCGTCTAGCGTTGACATGTGTATTTGCACTAAAAATTTTAATTAACTAAATGTCACAGGAAGTAAAACTGGAACTTCGAAGCGAGTTATTTGAAATTCGAGAATATGAAGTGCTTGTTACATTCATGAGAATATGAAACAGTCTCAGGCATCACGTAATTTATTATATCGACCAGGAATAAAAAAACAAAACACACTAGAACCCATTGTAGGTCGCAGTGCTATATAAACTCTATAGCAAATATTGCAGTATATTGAACCTCATGCAGTACGTGATTATTCTTCTTGAGAAGTTAGGTCAGTTATCTTGCAGGACAGGTGGTAGAAAGATATCGTCTAAACATGATATCGTTTGTCAGGTAGCAACTATACAATAGACAATTTTTGATTCGAATGAAGGTATTCCATTCATACCTTTGCTGTACCAAAAATAAAAACAAGAAAATTTTCTACGAATAAGGTGTAATGTCCTTGTCGTATACTCAATACTTTGCACGTAAACGGCGCATAAAATTCACCTCATAATGAATCTTAATGGTCTCCTGGAACGATTTTCACCTTCTCAATTGATTTTTATCGCACTCATTTCCTTCGTTGAGAGACATCGTATGTTTCCTACAAACGAGCACGACTAATAGAACTGTCCTTAAACTTTTAAATTACAATTTTATTTCGTTTATCGACATCCATTTTTCTTCTCGTTTAACCTACTCTCCGTAATATGCAAATCAATGCGTGCATTTCCTGACGTCACCTCGTGAAATAATAGACTAAATGCATTTCCACTGTCGGTCGTATATTACAGATTCCACAACGAGAAATGTTTCGAATAATGTTTTCGATTCTACAACGAGAATTATTAGAAATAGAATTTTTAATTTCATAACTAAACAATATTAACGGAATCTATATATGGGTGACAGTGCTTTTTATTGAAGAACTAAAAAAATTAATATGGTAAGTTAAATGTCAAATGAAATGAATTTGTATAAAATACTTGAATTTCGGTGAAGTTACAAAAATAAATATCACAATAAATGTTTGATTATGTAGTTTCCAATAATCGGTAAAATAAAACGCGTTCAAAGTTACAGTTACAAAAGACTTGGATGTATTTCTATCATCTATAATGGATACTCTAACACGAATACTCTAACAAAGCAACCCAGCGAATATTTGAATAAATTCAATGCGCATATTGTTCCCTCCGCAAATATTTCTTTGAAGGTGAAACATTTTTAGTTTTTGCGAGCCGAACGGAATATTTAATATACTTCGTGTAACGTTTACTAATGAATTTCCTGTCATCCTCGGTAAAAAGTGAGTCGAAAATAATATATCTCTTTCGTTTAACTTCAACGAATATTTTCATCGTTCTCGAGGGGACGAATCGATAAACTTAAAAATACCGAGTTGCTCGATTAAACTACCTCAATTTGGAAACGACTATTGAACGTGAGTAATCGACACTTCTGTCAATTACGGATAACGTTTAGATTCGTGCGATTCGGTTAAGTGGCTTTGATTCAGACAGTCTTGAACTGAATTTATCACGTCTCATCATCGCGAGGAATGATTAATAAGAAAAAGAGAATCAATGAATTAATACTTACATTCGTCTCCAGAACTCAGAAGATTCAATCAACTTCTTTTAATATTGAGGCGAAGCAATATATCCAAGAATATTCCTCGAGAAGTCGTAAACCTGTCAATATAAATATAGATCTATAGAAATAAGCCATAGATACGAAAATATATTTACATATATTTCGACTTTATTTACAAAGTCGTTGATATTTAACTATTACAAAAGTGCGTCAAGTGTCGATCATTAGGTGATCGCATCAATTATTAGCACGTTCACATTGTTTCTCAAAATATTTAGACCAGTTTCTGAAAAAGATTTATTCACCTATTGTTAGCAAACGTTGTCTAGAGAAAGAGGTTCGTTAGCTTCTCCAAAATGTCAAAAGGAGTTCGTGGATAAAAAAAAAAGTTAGAAAGCACTGTAATAGGGTGTCCCAGAAAACATTGCGCATTTTAGACGCTATGCTTGCTGGTTATTTGTGAACCGTTTATCGAAATGAAGCACCTATATGTATTAATACGTTGTTGAAAAGGTCTCTTTGTGCCGACTACGAAAATGTGCCTTGCATTTGTCTGCTTTTTTCATTGTTCGTTTCGTTTATGTTCAGAATGAGTTCTGAAAAGAAAATAATCAAAATTTAGGAGCTCTTGCGCCATCGCCAAAGAGAGAAACTTACGATTCTTTAATTAAGACTGCATTCACCCAGGGAACATAGTTGAGACTTTCATTATGTAAATTTATACATTCATAAATAATACTCGTGGTACTCGTAGACACACGAAATGAGAAAGTAATATAAAAATTATGTAATTTAAATTAATAAAACAAATTAAAAGAAGAAAGTCTCTAATGTTAATATTTCAAATATATTTAAATTTATTAAAATTTGTAGATATAAAATCCTTTGTCGAGTCTTCCTCTGTTATTAGTATTACATGTACTTGCAAAGTATTATCACGTGATTGTCGAGTAACAGTATAAAGTTTGTATCTAGGCTATGTACATCCTACTACACATGTAGCATAGAAGTATCGATTAAATTACTAATCATATAGCCACGACAACTATGGACATTAAATAGATTTATAGATGATACAGTAAATATCTCCAGTACTCTACATACTGTCATTAGTAATTTATGTTTGTTTTCCTTTTTAGATTCCATATCAATTGCTCTAAAACCAACGAATATATAATATTCAATCTATAACTCTGATTGTTAGTCGCAAATACACTAACTTAAATATGGAATGAACAGTAATATATTCATATGTAAAAGAAAATAGTGTTTTGGTGAATGAAAAATAATAAAATAACAACTAGAATGTTTGAAGGAAACATGGAATTAAAAACATAGAAATCTGCTCGAGTTGGACTGCGAGTAGCGACATCAATTTATTTTGCTTTCACAAGCTTCTGCACCGATATTAATAATTATTGTAATACAGTGGAGAGGAATCTTTCAAGCCATGTTAATATGTAAGAGAAGTGAAGGAGATCGCGGAAAACGTACGGAGAGTAATGTATTTATTCCCAAAGAAATCGAGTTGTCGACGAAATAAATCACTCTCCACATATTTCCCGCAGTTCTCTTTACTTGCTCTTACATATTAAAACTTTGCCAACCGCGCAATTTTCTTGAACCGCGCGCAGTGAGATGACTTAACTTAAACTTCACCAACTTCCGCAATACGGGGATTAATAATATGAAATTTTAAATGATACTCATCGTGCCTCTGTGGAACTATTTGAACGGGAACTTCCCGGAATTTTCGAGCTATATTCAACTCGTAATTGGTAGAAAAATATTCAGCAAAATCTTATTGATTTCTTCTTCTTTAATGCAAAAGAGCAAAAGAATTACAAAAGAATTTTTCATTGCTTCGTCGTTGCTTTCAGTGAATTCAAAGTTACAATTGCTCTTACTGAAACAATGATGTTAATCATATCAAGTGGATTCCATTTAAAATAATTCCTGCTAAATTCCAGATACACTCGACAAATTGATATACATTCATATTTCGAAACCAAAAATGTACACATCATACAATGTACACATAAAACGTTTTCCAAAATCGATATTAAAATGTCCATAAACTAAGCAAGAATAAAAACGGTTTCTAAACTAATAATTACTCCCCGAGCCGCGCTCGATTAAACGAAAATGGTACGATATCCATGAAAAGCTCGGATCTCGGAACCGCGCGATGGGAAGTAGTCGAACGTAAATGTTTGATGAACTGGTAAGACAGAAAATCGTGTTAGTCCCGCAAGGGGACGCGAAGAAAAGCGATCTTCGGGGGACGTTGCGAGGGGCCGGCGAGGGCGGGGTGTCTGAAAATCCAGATTTATGTCTGAGTTTAGTGACCGATGACGTCGTAAAATTACATCGAACGCTCGTACGTGTCGTTCTAATAAAGCGGGATGGAAAAGCGCGCCCCTGCCGAGGCTCGGCTTTCCGCATCGACCGACGTCGAGTCTTCTGGGAAATATACGTCAGAAGTCCTCTTTTTGTTTCCAAGAAATTTATTTCCACTTTCACCCGCCTCTCCACGGGAATTTGCGATCTCTCTCTCTCTCTCTCTCTCTCTCTATTTTTTTTTTGTTAATTTCACCCCCTCCTTTTGTATTCGAGAGAGCGATTTCAACCGATTGCGCAACGCAGTCCAGCGAAACAGCGTTCCCGTTTACTCGTAATTATTCTCAGTTAATATTCCATGCACGAGCTCTGGTTCCCCTTGCGCTCGAACGCACGATAAGCGTATTAACCATAATCACGGAGGCTTCTGGGGCACCGACAGGGGGCGCGCGCGCGCGCGAGCGAGACAGGAGGGGCAAGAAGCATATTTTGATTACGTAGCAATTAAACTCGTAACTTTATCAATTCGTGATTAGTTTAAATCGAGTTGCGATCCCACCCTATCTCGACTCGGGTTCGAGTTCTGTAAATTGGCCTGTGATTTGGACTTTGTTGATCACGGTGTCGCGTTTAATAGTAAATTACAGGACGATCGGTTTGCAACGCGAAACACCCTGTTACATATTATACTTTGTTTGGGGTTTCGACGTATCGTTTTATGAAATTATCGGTGGAAATTGTTACGATTGGTTTCTCATTGTCGAGACGTGAAAAGTGATTCCTAAATTAATTTGTGAAAGAATGTAGACAGATGTGTGTGTTCGTTTCAAATGAAAACGTAAAGAAAGCTGAAGGAAAATGAAAAAGAACAAGATTCTTACATTGTGTAGAGTGTGTGTTGATTCTCAAAAAATAATCGTAAACAAAATTAATTAGGTTCTTTCGAAAAAAAATTTTCTCATAGAGACCTGTACTTTCAGAGACCTATTAAAATTAATATTCATGTGTTCTAGAGGCCATGACCTAATTAGCCAACACGTAAACGGAATATTTAAATAATGTTTAACACGCTTTACTGCCAATGTTGATCCATTCATTTCAATTTCTATTAATTAAAAATAATGTTTGGATGCGTGGTAGAACGTGAACAGCACTGCTGGACTAAAATTTGTTAAAAGTGCACGAATTATACAGAGAATCCTTTAACAGCTTTAAATGAAAAATCGCAGTTCGTATAAGCTCTGGCGAACCTATTTTTCCGTTACAGTACTGGGAACAATAAATCTCTAGATATAGAGATGGATGGATTTATTGGGCTGGGACGCCAAGTGACCCTTAAGGACCTAAAATAATAACAAGACACAACAGTAATTCAGCTTACACGGTGACAACGGTAACATGAACTTCATAAATCACCCTCAACAGCAATTATGGGATAAATGCTAACCCAATAACAAGAATGGTATTGAATGGTGTGTGAAAACCCATAAATAACACAATTTTGCCCATGGAGATATGAATTACCTAGTTTTCAATTTTCCAGTGGTTATTTGTGTCATTTTGTTAAGACGGATTGTCTGTAAATATTTCTCTATTATTTCTCCATCATTTTTTATGTACTTTATAGTCATCGTCCTTCAAGTATTTTTGTTGAAACTATTTTCCATTGTATTGTCTTATTATTTTTTAATTTTTGCAAATGACCGAGAAATGATCGAAATGAAATTTAGCCTACGATACTCACGAATATATTTATATTAATATTTCTGGGCGTTCAATGTGTAGAAATATGTTTGTCAAACGTTTTTCGAAGTGTGCGATGCTAATAAACAATATCATTTCGCAAACCACAGCTTGCGTACGCTCTGAAAGAATACCACAATTTACGGCTTTGTAGACTTCTATGCACCATTAATCTAATTTGCACGGTGTCTAAAATAAGTAAGACCTTTATTTATAGCACAGGATTACAGAGGGGCGTTTCATGAAATATAGGCGTAACTTCAGAAGTGTATTCAGCGTACGAAAGTGATAAAAAAGTTTACACAAACGTTTGTCCTACCTGGCCTTGTTTCCGAGTTACAGATGTTTTTTCTGTCCCAGTAGTTGTCCGCCTGTCCCCACAGAAAGCGCAGTTAGAAATTATCGACAGATACTGCTCTTATCGTTCGAACGAATTGAACTGCTTCATAGACCATTGTGGATGTATTTACGAATTAATACTTTACGTTCTGGCTCTTTAAATGTTGCTATTCAATATGTTAAATTAACATATAAATGAAATTCACTGAATTGAATAAGTAAAAAAACATAATTATTCTTATCATGAAGCTTGTGGATGGATTTCGAAAATTATATTTTACGTTTGTACTCTTTAAATTTTACAAATAAATTTATTGAAATAAAGTAAACTTGTGTAATATCAACAATAATATGCAATACACATTTTCCCGTTTAGAAGATAAGACATACTTTCATTTAAATTTCAATTCTTTTTCTCTATCCGTGAAAATACGTATTTCCATAAATATTCGCAGTCTAGTTATCAGTTACACTTCACCTAGCAATACTGGGAAAGTATCATTGCGTGATTATAAGCAAAAGTATATAACTAACTTGGTATCTAGGCTAGCGCATTTGAATATCGACTAATTTACCTATCACACCTATAACTGCGAGAACTGTGTACATTAAATGGGGTTGTTGGTGATACAATAAATATATCCAGTACTGTATTTGAGATCT